TGGAATTCCAAAGGATGAGAGCAAAGAAGTTGAGGGCCCAACTTCCGATGGTGGGGCGGGCCCGGCAGGGGACATGTAACAGGCTGGAGCTTGCTGAGCAGAGGGAGCGGACAGGTTAATATAGGGTTAACAGGTCACATAGGTAGGAATGAGCAAGACCATGAAGGGCCTTGAAGGCAAGGACGAGGATTTTTAACTCTATCCTGGGGGATGGGGAGCCAGTGGAGCTGGGCTAGGGTGGGGATGATAGCGTTGCGGAGCCCGATGCGGGAAAGGACACAAGCTGCAAAGTTCTGGATGATCTTCAACTTGTGGAGGGAAGAGTGGGGAAGGCCAACAAGCAGGGAGTTGGCGTGGTCGAGCCTAGATGTAATAAATGTGTGGATGAGGGTTTCAGGGGCCTGAGGGGAGAGGCAGTGGCGGAGCCGGACGATGTTGTGTTTTCATTTCATAAGGTGATGACCCCAGCGGAGGTCATTTATTTGAGATTGAGACAAGGATATATTATTCAGGCAGAAGAGAGTGAGCTGTACTCTGCATGTTATCTAACCTGTGATAACCAGCATTTGATGCCGACACTAGATACAAGAACTTCAAACACATTGTGTTTTCTAAACGCTGGGATCACTTGCCAGACAAACACATTCTGGTTCATTAATGTTTATACATTACAATTTTCCTTCCTTTTGGATATCGTCAAGGATTTTAATGGGGTTTCTTTTGGTCAGCTGTGAGTCTGACACATACAGAAACCATAACTATCTGAATCAGGGTGTCAGTGCTGGGGTTAATGTACAAAAGGGTGTGAGTGCTGAGTTTAATTTACGTAAGGATGTGAGTGCTGGGTTTAACATATTCAAGGGTGTTGGTGCAATCACCTTGTGTACTGTGTTCCCTGGAGTTCTGTCAAGCAGATTTATTTAACACAGTTTGTATTTTCAATGGGATCTACATTTGTAATATTCACAAGGTGGGTGGGGAGCAGCAAAAGCCACCTAAGTAGGAAAGCAAACTTGGTGAGCAACACGTCACTTCCTCTACAACATCTCTCTTCTCTTCCCCACTACCCCTTTGTTCCGCCACTCTTGCCCTTATTCCTTCTTCCACCAATACCCCATGCCCACTCTCCCTCAAACTTCTCTGCCTCTTTAGCCCATTTGTCTTCTTCTCTGAGGTTGTCCTATTTTCTGGCCCTTCTACACATTCTAGGAGCTTTTGGAAATTGCTTACATCAAATGCTCAAACTGCCTGAGGAACTCTTAACTCAGTACTAAATTAATATAGCAGCAAAATTAATATCACAACATTATCACCTGAGGCACGGCCAGCAGATAAAGTCAATAGCTTCAGCACCACAATTTCAGACAAAAATAGGAATGAAACCTTGACTCCCTTCACAAACCGATCGGAATTTGCCAAGCTCATTTCACACAAGAAGTATGCAATCAGCAGAGAAAGGAGGTTTTATTCTCACCTGACTGGTCTGCATTCAGACCTGAATGTCAGAGATGAGATGTGGCAAACACACTGCCCAATCGAATTTCTAACACTCAATACTGTAAAGGATTTACTGTAAAGTGCAGCGCCTGTGTATTTGGTAGGAGAACTCGGCAGCCAATTTGCATAAATCAGTGTCCCATAAACAGCCATGAAATGTGTGACCAATTTTTATGTGGGGGATTGTTGACCAGGACAGCGAGAGAAATTCCCTCGTCTTTTCAAATAGTGCCACGGGATCCTTAACATCCACTTGAACAGGCAGTCGAGACCTAAGATTAACATCTCATCCCATGTATACATTATCATATATACAGTAGAACATGCCCTCAAATCCATTATTAAGCATCATGTTCTCATGAGTTCTCATTCTGGATCAACAAACCCAGCTGCTCAAGTGTGCTCAGAAAATTGAAAATTGAAAACCAAAATGCTAAAAGAAATCAAGAGGCTTGTTCGTGTTCAGGGGGTAGAGGAGCAGAGAGACATACTGCTGATCCAAGTGGTGAAAATGAGTGAGAGGTCACCATTTGAGATTTTACAGTGATGAGGAAAAGCTCCCTGCTGTTATGAGTACTAACTGCCATGCAGAGAGGCAATAATTTGCCAGTTCTGTCACATTCTGAAGTACTTCTACCCTGAACTAGATTAAAGAGTCAGCAGTCAGTAAAATATCTTTTGAAAGGCAGCGTGATTTCTTTCCTGATCAAACGACCACCCCTCTACCATTCATAGCTGTAGCAATTACTCTCGAGTGCTGGGGAATGCATTGAATAGTGCCAGGTACGGAAATTGAGCGTGACAAGAGCAAAACACGAAATGCAGTTTGTAGAAACGTGGAAAGGAAAATGATTGTGAAGCACCACAACCTCTACCTAAAACTGCTCAGGCTGACATGTAGGCTACTGACTGACGAGAAAAGGAATTTAACTTGTACCCTTCAGCACCACTCTGGGGACGAGGCAAGTCCTGCATCTATAAGCAGAAGCAACCTGCTTCATCAGTATGTGAGGCTTTGTCAGCCAGGGTCAAAGCATCAGCGTGTCGGATTATAGACCATGCAGTGGAAATAAGGCAAAAGGGACGGGGGAGGGAAAACAAATAAAATCACGCCATACATGCACTGCATACATACATACACACATACAGACAGACAGACAGACAGACAGACAGACAGACAGACAGACAGACAGACAGACAGACAGACAGACAGACAGACAGACATCCTCCATCCATATACACACACACACATACATACATACTTACATACATAGGTACGTACGTACGTACATACATACATACATAGCAAATGATGTGAGGCCAATTACAGCCATTAGGCTTCAGAGATCCAATGAATTATTTATAACCTGGCCTTTTGGGGAAACAGATTCTTCAAGAGATTTGAGAGAGTGAGTTGTTTCATAAAAAAACCTCAGACAGACCCAAGGGATATTTCTCCTGACCATGAATCTCCCCCATCTCCTTCTCTCTCACTCTCTCTCTCTTTTGCCACCCCCCGCATTGACTAACTAGAAGCAGGATGGGATATGGGGGTGAATTCCATTACTGAAGTTGTTATCTGAAACCTTATATATTACCACAGGCCAACTAAATAACTCCAAAGTGGCAGCTGAAATGAAAGTCTTTTTAAGGCCCCTCCAAAGCTTGATGCGTACAGCGAAATCAATACGCCACAATGCTTGGGCCAACAATGTGAAACAATACCACAACAACAACAACAAATTGCACTTATATTGCACTTTTCACATCGGGAGGATGTTCCAAGGCGCTGGACAATGAGAGGTTTGCACCTGAGGTGCAAGCTGGTATTAGAGAGGGGATGAGGGCAAGGGGATGGAGGAGGGAAGATGATCAAAGGCACAGTCAAAAAGGAAGGTCTCGAGACAGGCCTTGAAGGAGGGAGGAGGGTTGGGGGACAAAGCTGAGGGGCTCTGGGGTCGAGTTCCAGAGGGTTGGGGCAGAAAGGCTGAGGCTTTTAGAGGAGCAGGCAGGGTGGGGAATGTGAAGCAGGCCAGTGTTGCCGAGCAGAGCGAATAGACGGGTTGTTGAAGTTTCAATAGGTCACAGAGGTAGGGTGGAGCAAGATTGTGGAGGTCTTTAAAGGTGTCAACCAGACAACAGGAATCAATGAAAGTTCCTCCTCAGCTCTAACATGTTCAGGTCACGCTCTGTACAAGCAGGGTTTAATCTCAGAGAAATGACTGAGGCAGCCAAAGACTTGTAGGACGTTTTCCATGGCTTATTTGAAAGCAAGAGAGTGGAGTACAGAGCTAAGGTGGCCAGATAAAAAGGTAAATCAATGACAGAGCCACATGCTGGAATCCCACTTTCAATTTGTTGGAGCATGCTAGTGAACAAAAGGTTGCAAACAGAAGCAACGCTAAGCAATGTGAGTGAGACACAAGCAGTGCATTGAGAGGCGCTGACATTTAATAGTAATTCAGTGGCCAGGAGTTGTCAAAACCTATTGTGAAAAATGGGAACCGGTGTAAGAACCTAAGAAAGCACAACACCAGATAACCTAGCCCACTCCTTCCATCCAAGCTCAACTTATCCCTATCAGAACCATGCTGCTCATCCCCCCACTTTTTGGTGGGGGGGTGAGCATCAGCTCCAGAACCACAGCAATTGTTTTACTCCCAGAGGTAGTTGCTCCTTTCAGCTTGCCGCTGCCCTTGGTTCTTCCAACACTAAGGATTGCCATCCAGTCAGTTTCTATTTGCTACAGACTCTTTTACTTGAATCGACTGGTTGGCACTTCCAACCTCTTTTGAAGGAGACAGATCTTTTTAAAATAATATACATTTTCCTATTCCCAAACCTTCAAATCTCCAAATTTGGAAAGCGTACAGGGGAGGTTTTACAGGGATGATTCTGGGGATGAAGGGCTAAGATTTTGAGAAGAGATTGGAGAAGCTGGTCCTGTTGTCCATGGAGCAGAGAAGGTTGAGGGAGGACCTGATTCAGGTGTAAACAACAACAACAACAATAAATTGCATTTATATAATGTCCTTCACACAGGGTAGCGCCCAGAGTGCTTGTCCCCCAGTTACTGATAGGGGAGTCAGTTACTAGGGGACATTGTTATAAGATAGCCACAAGAACGGTGAAATGAGAATTTAGGAGGAATCCCGTCCCAGAGGGGGGTTGGCATGTGGAACGCACTGTCGAGTACAGTGTTGGAGGTGGAGTCCATTGTAGCCTTAAGAGAGAAGTAAATAGGCACTTTAAGAAAGAGAGGGGTTTGAAGGGATATGCGGCAGTGGGATTGAAGCAATATCCTTGCTTTGTGAGTTATACAGGCTTGATAGACTGATTAACCCTCCCCATTCCTCCCAGCCCCACTGTTCATATTATTCTCTGTACTGATTTTTTTTTGAGTGAGCAAGCGTGTCCCCATTCACCATCCACTAAACTGAATGAAACCAAATCACATTTCTCAAATGGGAACTTAGGATGCCACCCCCCCCCCCCCCACCTGGCAACACATATCCCCACCCAAATCTGGGTCCTTAATCATCAAAGGACGACATGGGTCTGATTACATACTCACTTTAGCAAGTCAAGCGACTGATCACCTCTCTGGCCCGAGCAAGCCTGGTCTAAGATTAGTGACCAAGGACTCAAGGTAGATTTGCATTCCAGGTTTGCTGCAAGTCAAACTCCTCTGATCAGTCCTCCAACTTCCTGATCCCAGCCAACAAAAGACCAGTCGAAGGCATAGCTCAATGCAATGATACATCAATACTTTGTGCTATTGGGTTGCCTAGCACTGCCATTTCTGATATTAAGCATGCACTCATGTTATGTTTTCTCTTCCCTCTTAGGTACTGCTCAACCCAAGCTAGTTAGATGCACAATAAAGGCAGATAGGCAAAGAGAAAGAGTCAGACAGACACGCAGACAAGACAGATTTTGCTTCAATCAATGCTGCTCTCAATGAACAGGTATAAAAATGCAGCTTGCGGGAAGGTGAACATAGGGAAAATATCTGAGATTTTTTTTCCCCCAGGAGCACCTGACATATCTGAATGTCAATATCAAAAGCATCCAGATGCTATTCCTGATTCAAGAGTATTCATGGAAAAGCAATGAAGGGGAGGAGAGTGGGAACTAGGGTTTACAGTGATTTAAACAATCCCTACCCTGAAGCAAGAAATTCCCAAAATTATGCCATAGCCCAGATTAGGCTACTCACTTTCTGTAGAGCTGAAAATAGAAGATATGTTTAATCCAATTGAACTTCACAGATACCAACAGTAAACAAATCAATCAACAGGTGCCAAAAGGGAAAGTGAAGGTCAAGAAAGCTGATTGTTTATCAGGTAAAGGGGCTGATGTTTTCATTGAGATCATTGTGCTAATGGACATTTGAGGTCCATTTCATTATACCACACTGAGTGTAGATTGTGGATACCTGACGTTGTGCTGAGGAGTCATAGCCAATTAAGAAATGCCAATGTGAATCGAAAGGTTTAATTATGCCTTCCACTTATAAAGCTAAAACTGGAAAGAGATTTTGTAGCAGAGCTCGATGCTGCCACTGTGGGTCGTGCTTACTGTTGTTTTATGTCCTGAACTGAACTGATTATGTTTTAAGAAATATTGACCAATTCAGTCCTAAAGCTTCAGTCTGAACAAAATTGAATAAATTCGATTAAATGTGTAGCTACTGTATTTCATTCAATGTCGAAATTGCATTGTATGCACTAAAGCACTCTGCAATGGGATGGTGAAAAAAAGTTTAGCAAGATGGTGCTTCACAACCTGTTTGATGTCATATTTATCAAACAATATTCACCAAATGTCACTAATTTCATACTAAATATACCTTAATGTACCATTGATTTTACCTGCACAGTACTAGCACCAATCGATACCATGGAAACCCACAGAGCTGCGAGGATACAAAGCAACCCCACCATGTGTGGTTACAACAGGCAACAGTTAACAAACTCCAACAATTACCATAAGGTTCAATCTACAAACCAAGATGTAAGGTTCACTCCACACCTTACTGTATCGTGGATGTATGGAATAATGTATGCTGTTACTGCAACATAAGAACAATTGTAAAGAAAAAGTAATACTTTGTGTATATTATGATATTATTGTCTTGATGTTATTGTCTTTACTGCTTTTACATTGTTAGTTTGTCCGAGGAATAAAGCTAATTTCCAAAGGTAACCAGTGATGAACAATGGAAGGTTTTCCTGACTCCAGATCCGACAAGACCCAACTCGGAGTCAGATCAGCTGTTTGCAGTGAAGTGAGTGCTCCAGTGAAGCATTATAAGGATTAGCACAAGTCTACTGTACATTAATATCCAAAATCTGCAAATATTTTTTAAAAAATCTTTGCCTTTGATGAGACATATTTCACATTGGAAGGTTGTCTCAAAACACTTCACAGGATTTCCTTTAAAGTGTAGTGACTGCATTTTGTAGGCAAACACAACAGCCAATTTGCACACAACAATGTCCCACAAACAGCTATCAAGTGAATGGTGAATTTTATTTGGGGAATTGTTGGGCAGGACACTGGGTGAAATTTCCTTCTCATTTCAAATGGACACTTGCAACAATGCAGCATTCTCCCTCCCACCCCCCCCCCCCCCCCCCCCCCCCCCCCCCCCCCCACACACGCACACACACACACACTACATTGAAGTGTCAACTAGACTGTATTAGTGTGTGGAGTCGTTGCCCCATTTCTGAGCACCAAGATTTCCACCTTCCTCTGGAGCATCACTTTTCAAACAATTTTTTTTGGTGACATCAGCGTGTGCGTACATACCTTGGCCATTGAATCACCCTTACTGTAGTGCTGGAAAGTTCAGATCTTGGAATGTATAAATTTGTTGTGTTCAGACTGTAGAACTAAAATCAACAGCTACTGGAGGTGAATGAAGTCATGAGAACTTGCCCTACACAAAACAAACCCTTCAATCTCAGAGTCATGTTGAGTTAGAATTATCCTACAATAGATATGCCCACATGGAAGTAAAAATTCCATTGAGCATTGAATGTCTCGCCTTCGGCCACTGTTGGGATTTCACTTTATAAACATCATCAAATGTGTTAAATGTAATGCGTATCAAGATTGATACCCCATAAAACATGTCTCTCCTTTGAGGAGAGTGTGGGGAGAGACAGAGAGGGAGAGAGTAAGCTCGGGTCTGTCCAACCAGCCGGCCACCCCTGTTGCGCTCCCCGGGAGCTGTAGCCTGGCCAACCTCTCCACAGCAGTGGGCTCAATGCACACCTAAACTACAAGGACCTACAAACATGACCATGATGGCCACATTTGAGAAACACTGCTGTCAAGTAGCTTTTCCAGTGTGATAGGGACACCAGTGATTAGTTGCTCATCTCTGGGGTGACGTTTTTTCTTTCACACTTGCTCCAGTGCAAACAGCTGATCCAATTCCAAGTTGGGTCTTGCCGGATCTGGAGTCGGGAAAACCTTCCATTACACATTTTTGGTTGCCTCTTGAGACAGGCTTTATTCCAAAGACAACTAGCAATTTAAAAGTAGGATAAGGCAAAAATATTTAGGTTCAGATACTGATACATATTACCCCATCTCCTCAATTCATTGCTGCTTTGCCAACATACATGTGTATACTGTGTGATAGCGCTTGTATAATTGATTCTTGTGATTAGTGTCACATATATCAGTAAAACACAAGAAAATCACAGTCAGGAAAGCTTTAAGGGTTCGAATTGGCCTTTAACAACCATTGCATATATGTTTGACAGACAATTACAATTCTCTGAGTTTTTTCTATGAGGTCTGTTTCACTGGAAAACAAAGGTTAGAACACTTTATGTTCATAGGCAGATGTAGAGGTCAGGGTAACAAGAAATGTATGAATAGAAGCAAATTGGTAGTCAAAAATGCTCACTATGCATTGCTCATTTTAAGATTTCAGTGGGGTTGAGGCAGTGAGTCAGTCAAATATCTGGATAACTATTCACTGTTCGGACTGTCCTCGAATGTAGTATAGGGTTCAAAATGTGGTTTGTGATGTGATAATTATTACCAAACAAAACTCTAGCACTTCAGAACTAGTTAAAGAAAGAATTAGGCCAGTAGTCCCCTAGCTAATATACAATTGCTCAGATCTTCATGGAAGCAAAGCTCAAAGACTTCTCTGGACCATCGGCTCAATGGTTGCAGGAACCAGCTTTGAGCAAAGCCTTTTGAATTGAATAAGAGGAGAGGAGTAGGGTTATTCACTGATGAGAGGTATCAACAGGACAGCTACAGGAGCAGAAGTGATAATTCTTATGAAGTAATAATGATCACATTCACCCACCGCATTTTCTAACTCCCATACCTGTGTTAGTAAACACATGGCATACACCACCATGGGGTAAGAAATCTTGATACGCATTACTTTTAACACTTTTGATGATGTTTATAAAGCAAAATCCCAGCAGTGGCCAACATCACCAAAAGCTAGACATTCAATGCTTAATGGAATTCTTACTCCCATGTGGGCATGTCTATTGTAGGATAATTCTAACTCAGCAAGACTCTGAGATTGAAGGGGATGTTTTGCGTAGGGCAAGTTCTCATGACTCGATTCACCCCCACTAGCTATTGGTTTTAGTTCTCCAGTCTGAACACAGCACATTCCAAGATCGGGACTTTCCACTAATGGTGAGTCAAGGCTAGTGTATGTACCTTCCATTAGCAATTATAATTGTGTGAGTCATTTAATGGGGAATAACTGGAATTTTCTTCATGAAGTAACAGAATTATCTTTTGAAGAAACGATTATTATATTAAGATATAATATCTCGGTTAGTGGGACACTTTGTTGTTTTGTAAAAAGCCAGTGTTGCACTTCGTGGATATTGTCCCTAAGAACGGTGTTGGAGTGTTCACTCCAGTGCATACAGGGACGTTCAATGTGATACCGGGAGAAATTTCCTTCCCTTTTCAAATATTGTCATGGTATCTTTAACATCCACCTAGGCAGGTAGATAGGACAACAAGAACAACAAGAACAACACAATTACATTTATAGAGCAACTTTCATGTTGGGAGGATGTCGGTTTAACGTCTATCTGAAGGACCCCCACCCCCTCCATAGATAACTCAGTCATAAATAATAACAATCTTTGCATTTGTTATAGTACCTTTTATGTTAGGAGGACATCTCAAAGTGCTTCACAGGATTTTACTGTGAAGTGTTTTGACTGTGTATTTGTAGGTAATCCCAAGCTGCCGATTTCCACACAGCAATGTCCCACAAACAACAATGAAGTGAACGAGCAATTTTATTTGGGGGATTTTTGGCCAGGATGCTGGGAGAAACTTCCAGTGCATCAGTGGGTGGGGGGGGGAAAGGATCATATTTTGCATTTTTAAACAATGTTTTAATCTCGCCAAAATATACTTGCAGTGTCTGACACAGTCACTAATGTGATTGTACATCATCACACTCTCCTCTCATGAGTGATCCTGCCAAATGCACAGTCACAACACTTCACAATAATTACCTGTGAAGTGCTTGGAGATTGTTGAAAGCCACATGTGTTATGAAGTGTCAGAGCTGGGATTACTTTGACTTCCTCAAGTGAGACCCAGCCTTCCTCTGCCCTAAGACAGTATGACCCAAGCCTGTTGGATCTCTGCTGTGCTGGAGGCCTGCCGACCCAACTGTCCAGCGCCTTGGGACGTCCTCCCGACGTGAAAGGCGCTCTATAAATGCAATCTTGTTGTTGTTGTTGTTGCTGGCTGATATGAAATGCTGTGTCAATGACCTCTGCACCAGTGACAGCTTTTGCATGATCTCTTACTGATTTTTGGAGGGAGGTGGAGAATTTGAAATGGAACTGGAAAAAATGTGAGGTGCATGACAAATGTGGTGTGGGCAAATCCAGAATGGTCAGGAATTCCAGTTGAGTGAAATGTCTGTTTGGAGTGTGAAGACAGGGTATGAGAGAAGTATTATGCACCACTTTGACATTGATTCTTCCCTAAGCCAATTCAGAGTGAAAACTGGATTGTGTGATGTGTCAATACCAATAATACTTATTAAGATATTTTTGAAAGAAACAATTGGATCATTTACTAAATTATCCACTGGTCCATTGTGTGCTGAACAGAGAAGCCCCCCACCCCACCCCATCACAGCCCATCACCAAATGCCATTCACAATACCTGCAATTACTGTTAAATGTGGTAACTGTATTTGTAGGCAAATTGCAGTAACCAATTTGGGAAAGATTTACAAAGAATGTATAGCACAGAAACAGGTCATTCAGCCTAACCAGTCCTTACCACTGTTTATACTCCATATGAGTTTTCACTCATTCCTTACTCCCTCCCATAACCTTCTATTCCTTTCTCCCTCATGTAAAAAATAATCCCACAAACAGCAATGAAGTGAATGACCAATTTTCTTTGGGGCATTGATGGCCAAGCCCCAGCAGTAAGTCCACCTGAATAGACAGAGAGCATCTCAATTTAACATTTTTGCCTGCAAAATAGTCAATTCACTTTACGGTATATCACGTGAAGCACTTTGAAATGTCTAAAAGATACAATAAGGTGCTGTATCAAATGCAAGGACCGTTGTTGTTATTGTTAACATTTCATCTGAAGGCGGCATCTCTGACAAGGTAGCACACCCCCAGCATTGCACCAGAGGCTTGAACCCAGAACCTTCTGACCTAAAGGGAGCAAGTGTCATAACAAGGGCCCAGAGAAAGCCTTTCAAGACAATCATTTCAGATTAGCAGGTTTAAGGAAATGCCTACTAATGTCACCACAGAGGTTAAGGTCATTCTGGGGTTCTGCTTGGTTTGATTCATTCTCCAGAGCCAAATAATCTGGGTATGCTTACAATTACAGCTCCTAGCTGTCTCTGCCATAACCTAGTAGAGGAGGGGAGAGTGGTGGTTGGTGTGGGTGGGGGCAGGGGCTGGATTTACTGCAGCCAGCCACCAGTTTTTCATTTAGCCTCAGG